CCGCCCCGCCCCGCCCCCGCCGCTCCTGAGTCCCACCTGATAACGGCATGCAGGAAGTCTCTGGTGAAGAAGTGGTTGCAAATGTTGCCCGCGCTGTACAGCAGGCTCCCGTCAGGCGCCCGCAGCTGCGCCATCTCGGGGCTGAGCTCGCTGTACTCCACCACCTGGGGCACGCCATCCACCAGGCACACCACGCCCACGGGCTCTTCCGGGTACGCCTTTGCCACCACCTGCAACCGGTATAGGTGGTGGGCTCTGGGAGCGGGCAGGGGCCAGGGCGCGGCGCGGCGTAGGCGGGGGGCGCAGCTCACCTTAGCGCCACAGTCCGCACCCTGCAGCACACAGAAGCCGATAAAGAGGGGGTCGGCCAGCCGCACCAGGATGTTGTCCACGCAGTAGACGTGCACGAACTCCACGCCACGGCGCGCCATGTCCTGCAGGATCTGGTGGTCCTCCAGGGCACGGTACAGCCCCCCATTGCCATCTGTGAGGGGAAGCGCAGAGCTCACAGGCAGCAGCTCCGGCGACTACACAGCCCACAGCTGTCTCTGACCCCCGAGCCCACACAGCCTTCCCTGAGCGGGCTGTACCTGGCGCCATGGCCACCTTGTCCTTCCGCTCCAGGATGGCCTGGCCGCTGAAGTCCACCGCAGGAAGCATGCGTTGCTCAAACATGACCACGTTGGCGGGGTCCAGGAGGAAGAAGCCCTGCTTCTTGAAGAACTCGGCCGTGGGTGCCAGGGTGAACTCGCTGGTCATGATATACCTGGTGGGACAGGTGGGGGCTGAGCCAGGCAGATCTGCTGGGAGCATTGGCATTGGGGTCAGGACTCAAGTTGGGGGTGGGGGCTGGGGGGTTTCCTTCTAGGATTGTGCAGGAGGCGGGACTAGGCTTACTTGGGGCAATATGGGGGCTGTGCGGGGTGTGGGCTCAGGCAGCACAGTGGGTTTGCGCCCAGTGAGGTCTGAGGCGGGCAGGGGCGTTGTGCGTGGGCCAAGATTGAAGGGCGTGGGGCGGGGCCTGTGCCTAGGGTGGGACTGGGGTTTCAGGGGCCGTGGGCTGGAGCAGCGTGAGGGCGGGTTGTCGGCGCTCCCTCCATAAGGTGGGCTGAGGCAGCACAGGGGAGGTGTACCAGGGCACAGTGCATCGGGTCCCGTGGCGCTCGCCCGCCAGCTGCTCCACACGCCGGATCCGCTCAGCCTGCAGCTGGTACAGGGTCTTCTGGCTGGGCAGCCCCACTTGGTACATGCCCTTGGGGTAGGTCACACCCAGCCGCGTGCCCTGGCCGCCCGCCAGCAGCAGGACAGCCACCTTGTTCAGGGCTATCTGACGGAAACCTGGCACAAGGGGCGCCCTGAGAGGAGGCCCGCCGCCGCGCCCTCTGGGAGGTACACCTGTGCGTCCCCCGGGCCGCTTCTCAGCAACCCTGATCTCTGCCCAACTTGATCCCTCGGGGACCTTCACGGGCCTTCCGCCGGGGCTCCCAGGGGAACTTCCTTGGGTAAGGCAGGGCGCCTGGGAAGGGTGGCTTCATGGACCCTGGGGCCTGGGGCTGCCACCTAGCTGTATGCGCACCGTCCTCAGGGGAACGGGCCTGGGGCGCCACACCCACTCGCGATTTGCACGTGCGGCCGATGGGGAGGCGCCTTCACTAAGTTATGCCGCAGGGCAAACTTCAGCCCGCTCGCCCGCGGCGCCCGCGTCCCCCCGCCCGGGC